GAGCTTACAATGATCTCTATAATTTTGCGTAATTCATCTTCCAGTGATAGTATGGAGCCAATGTCAACCAGATAGTACAATATAATAATAAAGTATAATGTGATAATGAATGAAGTACATCTAAATACCTGCGGTAATTCCATGCCAGCTCCTATGTGGAGCCAGGAGTTGGACTTGATGATCCACTTCCAACTTGGGTTGTTCTATAACTCATATTTTAGTTTGTTTATACTTCTTTGCCATTTCTTCACTGATGCTCCCTATTTGAGATATCTGATTACATACTAGCACCAAAGACAACATTCTGTTCGTGTAAACTCCTTTGACTCCAGGGAAAAAGTACATTCTTCTAAGTACTAGGTTGAATATCTCTTCATTTAATTTTGAACCCTTTGACCTCTCTCATCAAGACAAGCAACCTAAAAAGTGAAAATTGAAGGGAACATCTAGATAGCCTGTTAGAAGCAACACTGGTGTGAAAAGTTGGCTTTAAAAAAAAAGCGCTACCTCCTCTGTTTTATCTTTGGGCAGTCTGGACTGGTACTTCAAACACAGACCCAGCCCCAGTGGTCTGGCTGCCAGGGAGGACTGGAGCTCTATCTTAAAACCTCTGTCATCTCTTCTGTCTCAGAAGACCAGAGGGAAATTCAAAGAAGATTACAAATTTGTGCAGCAAGAAACTACATATTGCATAAATATTTTTATTTCCTTTTTGTGCTAAAAGAATATCCAATAAGCTTCACAGAGTAGTTTTGCGTATCAAGTTATTACCAGGCTTCTTAATCCCTTTTATAAGATCAACAGCAGTGTTATTTTCAAATTGGAAGCTTTCTGTGCCCGGAAACTATATCTTGTCTTGCTAGTAGGGTGACCTAGAGATCTAATTGGCATTTCCACCAATTTTGCAAATGTCTCAAGATCTTCAAAGTTTTTGTGAAAGTTCTGATTTAAAAGAAAATAACTGCAAAATTCAACCTTCAGTGAGCTTTTCAATGAAACAGCCCAAATATTTTCAGTTACCTATTTTGAGGAACAAATCTTCAGCTTTATCTCAGCTCAGGTAACAAACCATTTTGTTCCTTTGGCTTTGCTCTAAAATCAAGACAAAAGATACATTTCTAGAGATGATATGAAATGAAATTGAAATGAATGAGTACTGGGGAAAAGAAGAAACCTTTAGTGCTTGAAATGCTTTGTTATGACTGAATAAACTAAATATGCTTAATATGAAAGGTAATGATGCGACTGATTGAATAGTTTGACATTACTGCACATGAAATATCATTAACAGGTTCAAGATGGTTTTATATCAATACCACATCTCAGAATAAAATAAATGGAAATGTGGGACTACAATAATTTGTCACTGAAGCCTTTCAGTGTCGTTTAAAAAAATATTATCAGTGAAAGTCTAGTCAGCATTACCTGGAGTGTCAGAAGAAATTACAGCCTTGTGCATGTTTGAGAGCGGGCCCAGTTAAACAGCTTAGGATACCTGCAACGTATGTGTATGTGCGAGAGGACAAGTAAGTACCTAGTAGCTCCTCCATCTTTGCCTTCTATGGGCACCACCAAGTCGTACCTGTATTGTCTACTGTAACTAGCTTTCAGAATGTGAGGGGGCACCTGGGCAAAAGCAGCATTGATCCCCTCTCATGTCTCTGAGTGAGGACAAAGCAAACTGGGGAAACTCTGCTACCAGATCTCATACACGAAGCTTTTAGGAAGAAAATTCTGCCATTAGTGTGTAGTTACCACAAACACATACCCATCTTTAAAAATATTAGGGAGGATCCTGCAAACAGACATTCAGTGTTTGCACCCTGTATGCCTGCTCTTTCTGCACGGTGGTAGCAGTTCTCAGCAAAGCTCTAATGAGAACTCCTTGTCTGTGTAGATGATGTTTCCTGAGCAAGCCTGGCTTATTGCTATTATTTGCAAGGTGGTCTTGTGAGCAAAAGATTGCACTGCAAACTCAAAGATCCAAGATGCATAGCCTATGTCAGCATCTAATGGCCAAATGATTTACCTATACTCACCATGAGGATTAGCCTACATGATAAAAACCCTTTAGATTTTGATACAGGCTTGGTTCTCCCTTGATACAGGCTTGATTCTCCTTTTCACCTTCCAAAGGAATCACAGTCAGCATTTCAGTATTCACCCATGGGACGCAGATACTTGCAGCCATCTCGATCAGTGTATGCCATCGCCTTGCATGAAAGCACACAATACTGAGGGTAGCAGGCTGTAAATCAGAATGGTAAATCTGAGCTGGCATTTTGTGGCTGCTGTATTAGCTGCGGTTTCTCTGCAGACATCTCATTGCTTTCCCATTGCTGGCAACAACAGAGGTCAACAGAGATTACATTGTTTGTACAGCCTCAACTTGCTAATCACTTCTTCTGTCTATGGAAATTTATTTTCCGTAGAGCTGTGTCAGATGTTGAGTGTGTACACATCCCACATTTTCTTCCAGGTTCTTGCTCCATCTTGAAGGATGATCACCTCATCCTTCAGTGTTTTGGTCTCCTTACTTTTATCTCCCTAATGTAGGTCAATCTCTGCTCAAAGCTCATTACACTATTGACACTAACCAAAAAGTGGAACCAAAAATGAGAACATCCTTTAAAATACAACCACATATTCTCAAGTTTATTTGACAGACGAGGCTTTTCTTTGGTACGAAGTTGAGTAACATTGAGTAAAAAGTGAGCGTCAAGAAATAGTACATTTATGAAAACACTGAGAGTTGGATGGACTGAAACAAGTTTTATGATTACTTTTAATCTCCCCGTAAGATTTTAAAGTTTTAAAATACGTTCTATTCTAATGGTTTCCAAAACAAGCTTTTCCTTTCAAAAAGCTTAAAACCTTAATTGAAATTATAGTGTTATAAAGATTTTAAAACAAAGTTTGAATTGATTCTCTGCCTCTTTTTATTTTTGAGATGGGTGATTGCTTGTATTGCTGAGAGTAGAGATTTTTTTTTTTTTTTTTTTTTTTTTTTTTGTCATCCCAAAGTCTGTTTTTATTTCTTCTTTTTTTTTTTTCACCCAAGGTATTTTCATGTGAATTCTATTTTAGGTCAATTAATGTAACTTCTTTCTGCTAAATCATTAGAACTTTTCCTTAATTAAGAAAACGAGAGCCCTAATGTCATTCCACTAAGGGAAAAGAAAGTAGCAAGTTGTGACACACACAGAGGATTAACGTGGAAAAGTTGTTAACTCTGTGTGTATTTTTTCTATTGTGTCTTCCTTTCCTCTGATTTCTTTGCAAATCCTTAAAACTTGATAAGCTGCGTTTACGTTAAGCTGTTCCTGATATGCTCCAATAAGTGTGCTTTAGACACATTGTTAACATAAGGCCAAATCTGTAATACAGCATGGACAATTAAGTGCACAATTTTTGTATAAATGCAAAATCCCTCACTGTGAATTATTTAATTAATGCTCTACAGTTCATTTAATAGCGCTCTTTCAAAGGCCATTTCACTCACAGAAAACTAATTTCATTCTTCGGGTTGATTTAATTAGATTGTATGATATATGGTATTGCTAATTCAGTGGCTCTCTTTGCAGTGTCTAGGCCGCTGCTCCTATTGTCGGCAATCTGTCAGCCCCATTTTTAACAGTATTGAAAAATTCAAGCTTTATTATTGCTCGCTCACTCTTTCTCTCCCATCAGGAGGAAAGTAATGAGCTTTTCTTCTTATGAGAGCAAGCAGAGAGTGTGGTGCCCTTAGTGCTTCAGGCACCGAGCAGTATTAACAGCCTGATTCATGAGTTAAGTTTCTAACTGCCCGTGGCTATTAGCACTCAGTCCTTTGGCTGTCATTTAGTTAAAAAGACTCTTCGGTTAATTCACTCTTTTAATGAGACTGTGCTATTCAACTAATGTATTTTACTGTATGAAAGGTCACACCAGGAAGCAAAACAGATTGGAGGGAATGTAGCGGGAAGCCTGGCTGTCAAGAAACAGTTCAAGCCTCGCAGGCATTTAGCGGTCCCGGCGCTGTAATGGGCTGGGGAACTGATGGGCCAGCGCTCACCTCAACAGTTGAGCACCATAAATCACAGCTAAATAGAAAGCAGATTAATCAGAACCACAGACAAAAAGAGCACGTGTTTCATTACCCATATAATCACTAACATGATTGCCAGACAAGCCGGGGAGCTGTACACAGGGCTGACAAAGCGCGGCATGGCACAGGGCTCGGCTGGGCTAAGCAGCAGCCACGCGATCGGCTCCTCGGGCTGCTGCTCTCCTGGCTAGGAAAGGCAGCAACGGAGCACAAAACAGCAATGGCAAGTCGTGGCCATAAAGGCTTTTGTTTGGTTTCCATACAGCCCTCTGCCTCAGCGCGGGCTGCAGAAGGAGGTGGTGAGATGCAGGCCGCTGCACTGAGCAGAGCCCAGCGCTCCTGCTGCCTTCAGGTGTCCCCGGAGCCTCCAGGCAGCTGCCAGCACCAGCGCACGGCACCAAGCTTACGGTGACAACTTGTGTGCTTCTCCAACGTCATTTGCTCGCGGTGCTTCTCACGTCACCAGGAAGCTATATGTAACACACACACACCCGCACTGCCCAGCTTCTCCCTGCTCAGGCTGAAAATCTGCTCTGCCTCAGCATCTCTGCGTGGAATGTCCAATCAAACATGTTTTCCTGAGCATTGCTCGTTAATGTACCAAAGGAGAAAATGAGAGGAACCTCTGCTTTTAATAGCTTCACATCTGCCTGCCAGAGCGTTAAACATCTGAATTATTGTGAGGGCATGTGTGTGTTTTGCTCATTTTTAATTAGTGTCACTGGGGGAAAAACTTCAGCACTTTAGGGGCAAAAGTATATTATTTTTTAGAAATTGTAATTCCCTCAAACTACGGTAAACAAATCATTCTGATTTAAATTTCCCAAGCAACTTCCAAACAGGGAAACCGTATGTTTAATTACTAAACATCTGTTGCAAAGAATACCCCTAGCTTTTGCAGCACTGATATCGCTGTATGAATTTTAAAATCTGTCAGCAAGGGATCATGAAAGCTTTGGGAGCAGAGAGCTGCTCACTTTAACCCCTGAACCAGATAATCTAACAGTAATCCATTCAAAACTAATCAAACATTTACAGAAACGCACCAGCACTGAGGAAAACAATTCATCATCTTCATATGCTCATTACACTTCCAACATCTCAATCTACCTATGTAAATGAGACCGGGGATCTGACATCAGGTCCACGTACAGAAATTATAAACAAATATTCATCCATTATGCTGCTGAAATTTAACAGCTGGAGCACTAACAGTAGCTGAACTCCAAGCCCTGAGTATCAATTATTTATGAACCTAAAACTGACAAGACTGTCTAGGTGAATTAGCTACATATGTCAAGCTTTGTTATAAATCCCAGCCTACTGTAAAACTCATTTTCATAGAATGTATGTACAAGGCTGACAATATATCAACAGTACGGCATTAATAATTTAGAAGAATGGTACCATAAGGGAGCACCTAGAAACTCTGCTCTGCAATATAGTTGATATTACAAATAAAAAAGTCAAATAAAATGAATTTCCCATAAACAGAGAATCAAATAAAGCATTTCTCTATGATTTTATATTCAATTTTCAAAAAACTTACCAGTTGATACTTCCATTTTTAGGAACCATAAGCGTCTCCTGAAGTTGTTTAATTTTTTGCCCAGTGCTAAAAATGCCTTTGAATTTTTAGTTCTGTTGATGTAGGTTGTGTTGCATTTATTTTATTTTATTTTTACAGAATGAGATCAAAAAGTGCACGGAGGGTAAGAGGCAAAAGGAAATTGTTGTTTGCAGCAAGCAGTACTGCATGCTGTGGTTTAAGACCCTGAAATATAATAGACTAACTATAAGTACAGTTAATTATAGGCTAAAATCTACCTTTTGATGAATGCATATCGCACAAAATGAGGCAAAGGGTGCTCTGATCTGATGGTAGAATTTGGTTAGATATGTTAACCAGTGGTGCTATTTGAGATATTGTGAAGTTTCTTTGCTTTATGTTGTGTAAGAAGTCGATGCAGAAGCTACTGGACGCTAAATGCAACCATCTACGTAGCATAGTGGAACAAAAGGGTAAGTTCTAAACTGGAACTGCTATCCGCCTAAGGAAAATTCTGATCTGGAAGTCTACACTGAGATCTAGAAAAAGGACCTATCCAAACTTTACCCAAAATCTTACATATTCAAAGGCAGGTTGGAATTTTGCAGTTCTCTTCTACCCCAAAGAGCCATCAACAACAGCTTTGTTGAAGCAGTGCCCACAATTACTCAAAACCTGAATTTTGTTCAGAAGCACTTTGGTAAGCCTGTGTATCATCTAACCTATGCCCATAAAGGCATGGCTAGTTGCTATTCAGGAAGGTTGTCCACACACACACACAAAAAAAAAAACATTAATACACACGAGAATTTATGACTATCAAATAAGCAAGATGGGTAGTAGCCCATATTTTGATCTGTGAATGTTGGCCTTCCTTTTCTCCATGGCATAACTGTTTATTATTATGAAAAGTGAATGGGGGATTGAAGGGGAGAGAAGAGAGAAAGACTCAACCCCAGACTTGAGAGAAACACCATATCTGAAGGACAGTTAAAGGGAATCATTAGCATTCAGTACATGAGGCTACTGTTGACTTCCTGGGAATTGCTCTCATGCTTAAAGTTAGTTCTTGTTTTGTGCACTCCTTCATGGGGATCCATATGAAAAACATAGCGACAGCATATGAAAACGCGTTTCAGGACAGGAGAAGTCACTAAGACCTCAAAGCTGATTTGCACAGTGTTTTCAAAAATATTCCATCAGTAGCAAAAGCAAAAAATAAATATACATTTTCAAAAGATCTGCGATGGTCCAAGGAAAGGTGACAAGATATTTTAGTATTTTGATGCAGTGAAAGGAGAATTTAGAGGACAAAATAGTTCCTTATGATGCAAACATATACATGAAAGCAGAAATAAAATAGTAGATTTTATCAGGGACATAAGGAAAAGGCTACAATGCCATCACTTCATTTTCAGGATATCATCGTTTCTGACTCAGGAAATACTTGCAAAAAACTGAGAAAATATAATAAATCTGCAGTATTTTTCAAGAGAGAAAAGTGTGCCTTGATGCCTGACACATCAGGTATTTATGGAAAAAGAGTTTTTTCAAGAAGCTGTTGCTGGTCAGACCCAGGGAGACCCAAAGGTCATCCAGTACATCCTCCTGTAGCACAGAAAGAAGGTTCATATAACAATTCCTACTTAATTCTTCAGTCTACTAGGAATTTCCATTTCCCACTGCTTTAATGTTATCTGCATGGGTTATTTGCTTTATGTTTTCATAAGTAGAGTCCAATAATAATAATAATTCACTGAGGGTGAAATTCACTCCCGGGCAGAAAGCCCAAGAAAAGGCCTTTGCATTACTCAAGTCATTCCAAAGTGCTTAAAATAGGATTTGTTTGGATTTAAATGGCGCAGAGAAATTATGCTGGCTCTTTGGATAAGAATGACTTCACCTCAAATGCCCCACAGTGCTGTGCTGCTTACTGTCAAAATCCATAAGAATTGTCCCCACAGAGTTCCAAAGTAGAATGAAGATCTTGTAGTCTGCTCAAAACAATGAACAAAGGAATACAGGCAATCCACAGAAGAAATATCTAAGCTTCATTTCTGGACTTAATTAACTGATTTGGTGCCTGATGACATCTCTCACTTTGCATGTTCTTCTTGTTAACTGATGCTCTTGTTCTCGTTCAGACACATGGCACCTATGAAATCTTTCCCAGTAGCTCTTTCAGTTAACGTTCAAAATCCTGCTTGAATACTTTGTTTTTCCAAAAACAAAGTTTTTTTTAGTTTAGTTTTTTTTAGTTTTCACCTTCATAACGTAGTGAAGGTGAACACTGTTCTAGTTGAGATAGGATGGAGAGGTATGCTAGCATTTAGACTCCATACTCAACTTCTTTGGGCTTTTGCAACTGCAGGTTAAGCTCAAAAGACAGAGGTCACCAGCAAACAAAGAGTAATTGGAGTACACTTGTGAGTTTGAGCTAACATTTCTTGCAATGAGGGCTACGTGGTGCATTTCCAGGGCATCAGCTCAACAGCTGTATGTTTTCCTTTAATTTCTGAGAGGGCTTTTCAACACAATAGTCCTGTGATTTCTTGAAAATTTTAGTTAGAGCTGAACCTAGAGCTGAGAGCCTCATAATCATAACTCAGAGACTGGATTTGGAACTGAAAAATAATTCAAAATGAAAAAAATGATTTTTTTTGAATTGGCTGTACTTGGCGATAACTCTTGATGTTTTCTTCTGTGCTGTTGCAATAAGCTATGATTCTGGGGACCTACTTTTGCGACTAAAAGATAACTCTCTTGGGAAGAAAATTGCCACTCTGACATAAATCTTTGAAACAGGAGTTTATGGGAAAGTGGCAAATATGAAAAAAAAAACAAATATACCAAGCTAAATAGGCATTAATTTATGGACATACTGCTTGAATTCATAAGTGCAGCAGCCATCTGATGATCCTGGAGAAGCAATGGTAGGCTTTTGCTAGAGCCTCAACAGATATAATTAACTACATTTTCGTATATGATCACAGCTACTATTTTTTCTACAATATTTTCTAGCTGTAAAATCTCATAACAATTTTTGCTTTTCATGTAGTTTATTACTTCCCAAGTCATGCTCATTGCTGCCTATGGGAAGTCAGTTGCATCTTGTCTCAGTCATTTGCTGCTGAGACATCAGCTTCATTGTTCTGTTCATTGGTAGTGTTGATAACCAACTTTAAAAAGGAGCACAATAAAAGAGAGTGAAGATTGCATTGCATTAATCATGAATATCACAGTAATAACAGACATCATGTTTGACTGCATTTTCTCTTTTCAATTAGACTTTGCAACTCATAACCCCCACTTTTTTTCCAGAAAACAAGGTCCCACCTTATAGAGCTAAGAATGAATTAGAAATGTCTGATATCCAACAGTTTTTGCCCTTCCAACCTCAAACTGCTGTCCATACCTAACAAATGCTACACTAATACCTGTGGATTAAAGTGATGTAGTTGTACCATCCAAGATCCTCTGAAAGTCAGACGTAGACTGCAGGGTAATATCACAGTTTAATATGGCATCCAATCATTCAGGTAAGTTGTTACACACAAAGAGTAGAAGAGGACACTGGGACAAGACATCTTGATTTATAGTGGTGCCTAACGTAAGTACTGTCCATCAATAGCAAAGATCTAAAAATGAATGCTGATTCACATCAGCCTGAAAAAAAAAACCAACAACACAATTATCATCATACATAAGTGCAGTAAAAAGGAAGGAGATTCTCTATTTTCATCTCCTGAGCCTTGGAAGCAGGCAACAGAGAATATGAGCAGATAACTCATCTCCAGCTTTAAACAGGAGTGACTGATCACCCAGAAGTGCCACCATTTCTGAGTATTCACAGCACTGAGTGCCACCCTATCTGGCTGACATCTTGCTAAAACAGCTCAGGGTTGATTTTGCTTCCAACAAAGCAGGTTAGAGCTGCTAATCCTAGCAGTGCTGTTGCTTGTGCACGGCCTATGCACACTCCATACACCAACAATTAAATTTACAAACCATTTCAAAATTGCATACGGCTAGCAACAAAAATGAGGATTATGATATTTGGATGGCTGAACTTGATGCCTGATAAATCTCTACTTTCTACCTTCTTTCCAGCTCATTTGGAGGTTGCAGCACATATGTCAGGAGACAGAAGTTCACTAATAATGTTTTATGTGCTCTCACATGGAAAAGGTCCTTGTGGTTGTAACAATGCTGATTTTTTAATCATGTCATCACAGATGATGCTTAAAACAAGCAAAGCTCCAGCATTACTGGAGAGTGGCTGCCTTTCCTAGAAAAGAAAACCAACAGAGAAATATTAGATTAGCGCAAAATAGCACAGCAGAAAAACAGAGTGTGAGGACCAGGTTTGCAGCTCTGCTAAATAGAGAGATCCAGGATGTACCAACTTCTGCAAGATTTTTTCATGTCTTTTAATAAAGAGTGGCCAAAGCGAAGAAATAAATGAAGAAAATGTTGTGAGCTGTTCTTTTGTTTTGAGTTCTCTTTAGATTGGATGCGAACTGCAGCCCGAAATGTTCATAAATCCTTACAATGGCCCAGGCCCCATCCAATGATGATTTTTGGGTATTACATGCTGGTGTGATTACTGGAAAGTTTTCATGAAAGTTGGTTTAATTTAATGAGAATCTATCTTGAGAAGCAAGTGAGGAAGGAAATGGACTTGTAAATATTTAAAAGTTTTAAGAGGATTGTGTCATATTTATAGCCTTTCATGATTTTACTTCTACAACACTGGTTTAATGCAGAAAAAGAAAAAAAAAAAATAAATCTGTGAATACATAAAGAGAACTCTCCCCCCATAAGATCAACAGGACCTGGGGGAAACAGCCCCTTACTCAGCCCAGTTGTGCAACTGAGTTCCTATGTGATGTGGATCCATGTGGGCTAGAGTCCCTGCACAAGTATTTATTCCAAGAAAACAGACAAAGGAGGTTTGTTTGAATTTAACGATGGCATTTCCAAATGTGAAGGCTGCAGGATCAGAATTAAGAAACATTCTTCTGGAAGGTTTTGTTTTGTGTCTGTCTAAACATGAGCAACAGAGGTACATTCTCTAATGGATTAATGTGAGGCAGCAAGAAAGCCTTTTAATGGTGTGGAATGCCCATTAATGCAGATTAAAGCAAGAAATGGGAATTATAAAGCAGATACTGTCTGCACAAAGAGCTAAAAAGGTCCTTTGTTGGTATTTTTGCAGTTATTGAACTATCAGGTGTGACGGTGTAACACAAAATATGGAAGCTCAACAAATGTCATACTAAGTACTTTTCAAAACTGTAATTGATCATCAAATTCCAATAACAGCTTAGGTACTTTAGTTGATATTGAGATTAATATACAGCTTCCTGCAGCAAGAACCTCTTCAGTTTCTGACCTTGGCTGGTAGTAAAACCCAATCAATATTTAGACCAAGCAAGCTTTCCAGAGAGGATGCATTGAACACATTAGTTTTCTTAAAAAAACATTCTGCCATCAGCTAGAAAATCTAATCCACTCTGAGGAATACGATGGAACAGAATTGAGTAACAACCCCAAATAAAAATAGGGTTTACTTAAGCTTTTTTTTTTAATTAACTTTTAGAATCATGATTTTCTACTGCTACTTTCTACTCAAGGAGGAAGCACTGAGTTCTTGCATACAGAAAGGCATTAATTTTGAACACCCATTCAGAGGACATGGAATCAGCAATATGATATAAACACTGTGTCCAAGCAAGACTGATCAATATCTTGATGTTCAAGGTGCCAGCTACATACAAGTATTTCAATGGCCAAAAATAATTCCCTGGCATTCCCTGAAGAAAAAAAAAAAAAAAAGTAAAAGATCACAAATACATTTCTAACACAAATTTCTCAATAACAAGTCCATTGACAATATAACATAAATGACACATAGCTAGCACTTAACTGAAATAATGCTTTCATCATACAAGTTATGCATTTTTTCCTTTCTATATCTATCCCTTATGCTCTCACAAAAATATAAAGTATTATGCTAAAATGTATAAAGATTTAACTAGTCTCACCAATGTTTTTTGTGGTCTTGCTTAGAATAGTTTACTTTTATCATGTGTTAGGCTGAGTGAAGACCAAATTGCCAAATTTTGTGATTTTTCTTCCTTTGGACTCCCTGAATCTAAAAATAATTAAACAGTGATTTTAATAGCCATTCATTGGATTAACTGTTTTATAAACATCTAACGCATTTGGCCAGGAAATGGATGAAACACTACCACTTGCATGCCTTTTCATAATGAAGTGTGCACTTCCCTGTATTGCTGGGCAGTAAAAGATCTGGCCCACGTGTGATACACACTTGAGTAAAAATAAGTAGAGAGCGCGGCTGTTAATTGCTACCTTTTTCCATTCCATTCCCACAGTGGAAAGTGACTATTTCTATGTACAGGATTAGTTCAGAAGAGCAATACAAGGGTGGGGGCCAGAGCAAATCTGTGCTTTGGATGACATGGGTATGATGCCTACCATAGACCTACAAGCCATGCCCTCTTAAATCAAAGTGCTGCTCCACCGCAGCACCTTAATTGTTCCAGGTGGTGTAGTCAGTAAACATTTGCTCAAGATTTTATGTGTGTACTGTACTTTCAAGAATTGTTTTCTATTTAAAATATTTGGTTTTACTTCAGTCTTGATAAGGTTTTTGTCCCAGTGCAAATAAGATGAGCTCCAATAACTTAAGTGCAGTCTGTCTGTTGACTTACCCTGGTAGAAATGCATTTCTGTGAGTTATTTTTGGAATGTTCTCATGGTAGGGATGCCTCCCTGCTAGCATGTAGAACTGAAAATGGACACAAACAATGCAGTGACACCGTGGACACAACTGCTACACTCAGCTCATAAGTAAAGGGATAAGCATTGAATACCAAATGACGAAAAAAAATTCAAATTTGAAAAAATAATTATGTTATTACAGAATCAAATTTTTTGATGCTGAAGTATAGAGCTGAAACAAAATGGGATCTAACAACAATGGCATATACAGTAATTCCTCTGCAGAGTGTGGGCAGGAACTTCATCTGTATTCTGGCATAGAGCTTTTGTTCGGTTACATTTTAAGTTTTATTGCCATTGATTGTATAACAAATAGAACAATAATAATATGTGCAGATGGGAGACTATACCTAACCTGTGTGCTACAGTTTAACTGAAACATTCCATTTCTCTCATCCCCTTCCAAATGAAGAGTGAGGGAGACATATTAGCTAATGCCCTAAAGCCTCATGCCCAATATACTAAACCTCAATTATTCACTACAGGAAGACCTTCCATGCTGAGACTGGATGAAACACAGAACACTTCTTAAATGCCAGTGCTCTGAGCAAATAAGCTGTAGAGCCTACTGCAGGGCTGATGCTCCAACAGAGCCATAAGCAGTGGCCCCACAAGATGCAGAGAGGGACAGTTCTTCCCAGACATCTGTGGGACAAGCTCACCCACCTGAGCTAATGAAGCTTTCTGGCAGGTCCTCACAGCACTCAACACACGAACTGGGGATTTTTTTTATTTTATTTTATATTTTTTTTTAATTTTATTTATTTTTTTTTATTTTTTTTTACAGCTCCATATCACCCTCCTACTCCTGCTTGTGACTGGGAGGTGACACTGCAGGCACAGGGGCCCTGCAGGTGCCAGCCCCTCCAAAGCAGTTTTGCATCAGGTGACCGCTGCCTTGCCTTATGGTGAGTAAAAGTCATAAAACTACCATCAGCTCAATGGCTGTAATGACTACTCTGAAGCTTTTTATAGGCGATAAGCTACTGTAAAGGTCTGCTGGTAATTTGTGGATAGGGTACATTACCGTTATCCTTGAGGAATTTCAGCTTCCTTTTTATATGCCTTTTCTCTCTTGAGGGGACCCTGAAATTAACAGAAGGCGTTAGTGTGAAGCTCTGCCAGAGCCTCTCGCTGAGCACGGATTGCATTTATTTCTCCTCAGACATGCTCTCATGCTCCCATGAGAGCTGATGTGGGGCTGGAGGTCCCCTTCTGCTCCTCGTGGTGTCCAGGAGACAGTAAAGAGAAATCTCATGGAAATGGTATAAAGAGGGGACAGAATCCAAACCAAACCAGGTTGGAGCCCAAATGGAAATGGAGGGCGACTGAGTAATTTAGCCAGTAATGGCAAAGCTCAAGCAACTGGCTTCTGTGCACACTGCTGGGCTGCAATGGATGTGTGTGCCATGCTCTCAGCACCACAGGCAGTATTGCTACCAACAAAACAATCTCACACAGATCATGAAATGTTAAGGAGTTCATTTGTTTAAAGCATTATGAAATAGTTCCCTTGCAGATCTCATCCTTTAATTTCCTGCACTGGGGCTGAGGTGCGGGACACCAATACTGACAGATCAGATTAACACCTCTGATGCAGAGATTTTCCGCTGTGCTACTGCAAAACACATCACTGTTGCAATATGAGCTCTGGATTCTGGACCTGTTGCTCCCTGGGGCCTTGAACAAACTAACACAAAGCAAAAACAGCAAAAGTGATTCCCTCCAATGGGGAAACTAATCTGCCTGGGTTGCTAATATGCCTTCTGGAAGGAGAAAAAAAAAAAAAAAAAAAAAAATCCAGAAGATGATGAATTTTTCTTTTTCAGTAAATCTATTTTCTCTCAGCATTGCAAGGCTCCATACAAACCTCGTAGGCGCAGCAAGTTGCTCAGTATGCATACAGTGGTTGGAAGTAATGCAAAGACTGGAGACAGAGGAGAATTCTAGTTTTTCTGTGGTACAGACCATGATTTGGCAAATCAGGTATAAAGCCCAACATTTATTCATGATTACAAAGCTAAGAACTTTTGGCACATTATTTGGTCTAACACACATGGAATTGTGCTAGCTCAAGCAAGCTTTAATTTAATGAAAAACAAGTAAAAGACATAGCAAAAAAAAAAAAAAAAAGGCAGTTATTACCCATATCATGACAAAGTCTTCTACTCTCAGAGATGGAGACCAAGATTTCATTAACATGGGCTTGTGCAGCCCAAAGCTAAACCAACCCTTGCCTTGCAATACTTGCTAGCTGTTAGCCATTGCTGTTACCTGACAGTTTTACATTGTTGAAGGGGGAAAACAAAACATGTAGGAAAATGATGAAACTGTGTTTTGTTCTCAACCCAAAGAGTTTTTCTCCCATTGAAATGGCATTTGAGTGAGTTGCCTCCTGCTTGTGACTCAACACATTAGTGCTAGGGAATGGCCAGGTCCCAGCTAAGCAGCCATCAGAATCTGTGTAATTACAAAAATGTGAGGCACTGAGAAAAAAGCCAATGTGCCCATGGAATGATTCACCAGAACAGTCCTCAACCTTCATTTTCATTTGATGACATAAGTATAAGCATAAGTAGTTACAAATATATAGAGTATGCAAGCCTCAGAACTTAAACATATCTCAGTTTTTAGTAAGCAGGGATGGGTTGTTCCAGGTGGTCCCAGTTTAACCACAAAAGGACAGCAGTTCATGGTGAAAAAAGCACAGAACACATTTTTACAGCTGACAGAAATGCATTATGCAACCAGGACTTATTTGTGTTGTATACATATGTAAGGATTTCCTGGATAAAGATAGGATCGCTTCAGCTATGCACCAGTGAGGGATTTCACAATTGTACAGAATTCTGTTTCTAACTGCAATATTCACCTCATCATACTCCCTGTTTTACAGCTCCAGTGCCCCACAGAAGGTGAAAGTTCTTCCTTCTGTTATTCCCAGCCAAGCTGCTGGGAGCCCAGCCAAGCCTCAGCCCAGCCTTATGCACCAGCCCCGTGGGGATCCTTTGCTTGGCAATTCCTAAGGATGGCTTTATCACACCGTTCTATGATTCTATTATCACTGAAAGGTTAGGAATAGCTCTAGGAAAGTGATACACCCAACTTGGAGCAGTCAGACCTGCTCTCCAATTCATTGGAGCTTAGTCCCTGTTTGCTGCTTTGACCAAAGACACCTAAATTGTCCCCACGTTGCAGCTGAGGCTTGCCAGCGTACAGGTACAGGATATCTGGATATAATCTAAGTCAGTAAACTACCAAGCTACAAACTCACCTTGAAGATGCCATTTGGTAAATGATTTGGCAAGTGACAGTACCATTTTGAGAGTGGAGAGCCATTCCCAATACATACATAGCAATGGAGCACAAATCTCTGCCCTGATAAAAGCTTGCAGTGCCTGAGAATTAGGGCTGTGCCATGCTTTGTGTTCAGCCTTACAAACAGCAACTTCAGTCCCTGCACAGATGTTGGATTTTTAAAATGGAGCTGTGAACTCTTATTGCAGCAATATTCCTACCTGGCATCGAAGGTCCCTCCTTTACCAAGCTGGGAGACAAACTTGGGTACTCTGCAGGGCCAACAGAGGGAGCTGAGTGGGACAGAGATTGTGAAACAGCAAGTGAGTTTATTCAGTGAACTGGAACTAATATTTTTTATAAAGGGTTTAAGTTACTCTTATATCAAAAGCTCTAAGTTCCATTATAAATGGCTTCTAATCCACCTTAGAACTAATGCACTTTACACCAACACAGTTTCAAAATAATGGCTTAGCAACACTCAGGGCTGGCAGTGCAACTGCAGGAAAGCAAAGCACAGCAAGGAACCATGGCCTTCTGAGCTGCACTGAACAAAGCACAAAGTGCATCTTCTCCTTCAGCCCCTTTCAGAGCGCTGGGGCTCAGGATCTGTCATGGTGTAACAATCAGAAAGGAGAACACGGTGAAGACTAATAAAAGAGGCATAATAGCAAAGGGATCAATGCAATAGAAGATGCTACAAAGAAAAAGATCTCACCTGCCTCTGAAGATGTACACTCAGAGGAAGACTCTGCAAGGGAGGGATCACCAACCACAGAACTTTCCCCAGAGCCAGGCAGCCCTTAAATGGGGTCTAAGAGAGGTGCAGCCAGGATCCACCCCTTCTGGTCACACAGCTGAATTGCCCTCACCTGTGCTCCCAGGGCTGACCCAGTCCTTTCCTTAGGCACTCAATCAGTGGCTCAGACCACGACTCAACAGCTCCCATATACATGGACAGAGTGAAAAAATACTCCCTGCCAGAATAGCCAAGTTCTTCTTTAATAAAAATGGCAGCAAATAAAAGTGGGTAATATATACGAAGTCTCTTCCATTATCAATGTCTTTGGTACTGTCCTATCAATCACGTTGTTATTTTCTTTAAAGCCACCAATGTTCTCTCAATCAGCATTTTCTCCTCTAAATACCCCCTATGTGATGGAACCAGAGATATTTGGTATGGGGAGTTTCTCTGCTTTAGTACAGTTTTGTCACAGCTAGATCTTTATTCTCAGAAGGTCAAGTTAATTGATGGTCTGAGTCAGATGTCCAAAAGTAAGCCCACTGCATTAAAGCCAGGTCCAGACAAATCCCCTTCCAGTATGGCTGCTCCTTCTCAGGATCAATCCCAATTTTTTCTTCCTTATGACCTCTTCAGGAGTTTTTGCATGGCTGAAGTCCAAGGTCCACCACACACTGACTGGTGGGAGCTGCTCTGCATCATGGCAGCCTTCAGAAGAAGAGAAACCAGTCATGACTACTGGCTGCTCCACACTGCTTTTACAGACAGCAATTTGTCTTTGTAATGGAGTAGAAAAAGACTATTAACTCAACCAATGCACTACATATTAATTACCAAAATCATTAAAATAAACTTTTTAAGTACTACTAAGGAAGCAATTAGAAAAGTAACTTTGTATATAATACTTTTAGTTCCAGAATGAGAAATGTATGTGACTACTATGGGCCAAAACATGGCACATTTAATTTAAACCCTGGCAGCAAGGGGCAGGTTCCATTGCAGCTATAATAAATTACATACAAGTGCTACAGAACAATAACAAAAACTGTGAGCCATCCATTTCAGTACCATTTACAAGAAATCAATATCAATACTTAATGCAATACTGGTGAAAAATGAGCAAAGATACAGAAAGCATAATAAACCAGTAATGAAAGACCTTGCAGTGTTTCACTTTGGAAGAAAAAACTAACTGTCTATATTTTCATGTAGAGGGATATTTCACCGAGGCAATGTGCTGGAGGTATGAGTGTTTTGCAGATCTAAGTTTAAAATCACCTCTTTATTAAATTTAAAAAAGTTTTTTAAACTGCGGATTACTAGCTTAGTAGAACTCATACATATGGAAGGAAGCATTTCATCTTCCTGAGGTCCTAAATATATTTTTCATTGGACTGCTTTAGATCAAGCATCGTTCTGCTGTGTACCTCTCTGAAAGCATGGGCAAGGGCACTTGCTTCTGCCAAATTTGGGTATTCTGTTTGGGAAATGAAAGGCTTAAGCTTTCCATTTAAACTGTCAAAGTGAATAGGAGATATCATCAGGTATCCCCATTTCCTCCCCTGGTTTTGGATTGCCATCCTCATCATCATCATCTCTTTGCACTGTCAAGATAGATAAGTGGGTAGGTGGTAGTAAGTAGGTAGATAGATAGATAGATGGATGACAGATTAGAAGTCTGACTACCAAGTTTATTCTAAGTAAAAGAGCCTTCCTTTCAACTAAAATCTAGCTGTGAATCTTTCTGACTCCAGTTCTGAGCTCAGAAAGTCCGAGATGTGCCAGTTGATACTTGGAACAGCCTTCGTACACGGTGAAGCTCTTTGCAAAGAGGAAGATGAGCAACTTCATTTTTAATGAAACAATGAACAGATTTAGTTGCAGAAATTGAAGATTTGGAGAAGAGGGAAAATGTTTGGTGGAAACTGGAGGAGACCTGGAGTCACGCTCAGTGGAGGACTTGTGCCCTTTGGAGGGTTGCTCAAGAATGTACATGGCAAAGACTATCAGAAACAGTCACAGAAGCAGTCTGTAATCCTATTGCAAGGCTTGTATGATTGGATTCCCTGTGAGATAAGGATGTCTTGCAGTACTTCATCTTTCTTACACTATCAGTCTTAAGGAGGCTGGGGAAAATATGACAAGTTTGAGAATGGCTGCATAGGCCAGCTTTATCAGTTGTCCTTCAGCTCAGATATCCAGGAGAGTTTATTACTGGCAGGGATCATCTCAAGAAGGAATTCATCAAGTGCTAATATGTGAAAAGGGCAAATGAGGCTGCTCTTTTCTACACAGACTATTTTCTGGGTTTCATTCACGCAGTTGCTAGATTAGTGTAAAGCTAGTAACTGACAAAAAACGATAGACAGGGTCAGTCGGGAGGAGATCTTTTTGTATTTGTTCATCTACCAAGTGTAGCACTGTATACCATGGTCACTCTATGCAACAGCAAGAGGAATGGTGAGCAAAAGGGCTCTGAGGCTCTTCTGGGGATTACCACAGGGCTGGGACCATCCAGGCGGACCAAAATACAAATTCTGCTGTAAGGACCAGGTCTCCATCAGGAGGGGACTTCTTGTACCAGTTCCTACTTCTGCCAGTTCATTTAGTAAAGCGATATGACAGCCTGAATTTTTCTCACCTGAAGGCCAAAATAATGAATAACCACAATAAATCCACTAATGGGCACAAATAAGAGCACCAGCAACTGCAAATAGTTTGTTGTGGCTGTACTGTATCAAATGGTAACTTATTTGAGCAGGATCCTGGTACTGGCAGATGGCATACAGCTCTACTCTCGTGTTAGCAGGAGTATGTCCAGAACATGTACAGCTGTGTAAAAGTCAGTGGGAGCTTGGATTATGTGCAAAATGAACAATCATTGGGGAATAAAAATATTCTAATTGTTGTTTCCACTAATCAGCTTTTAAACATATCCCCTCTCCAGGAGGAAATCAATTTTTTCGCAAGTAGTACAAGAGACTCCTATTATACAGTGTGAATTAAGTCTAACTGATTAATCCCTTAAGTGAAATTTCTTTGTTTAAATTAATTCAGCGCTTTCTGCTGCCACTCAGTTATTTTGCCTGAGGACATCACATTTGTTTGCTCACTCCTACCTGCCTAGGCACACCCATTCAGTACTGTAATGCTCTCATTAGTTAAATGGATGATCCCTCAATATAATTATATGAAACATATTGCAGTAAACATGCTGTCTCACTCTTTAGATCTGCTTTTCATCACTGAGTCCAATCTGATAATTTAAGCATGACTCCATCTGAGCACAACCGGAAATGGCCCGATCCAAATCCCAAAGAATATTTGCAGCAGTTTCAGCAGCCTTTGAGTTTAGGCCGTAATGAGATTACAACCATTTTTTTTTGTTTTTTTTCCTGCAATTGTTTTCTGAAAGTGATCCTATACTTTTACCGCAATAGAAAGACATGCTGGGAAGGGTTTGGGGAAATAAAAAGTTGAATACCCAGTAGATGGTGCTGTAATCAAATTCTAAAACCTGTTACACGAGAGCCACTTAGCTGTGGCACGGCAAGTTTCTGCAATGATTAAAGAAAATATGTTTTCTTTCAAGGCATGTCACTGCATTTAAAACACTTATTCATCTGGAGTAGTAATCGTATAGGTAATAGGGTGAAACAGCATCGAAGTTGAAGAAATAAATAATGTGTGTTGAAGAAAAATGATTTATGGATCTTTTCTCCATGGTCCTACGTTTGCAGGAGACTTTAATGGAAACACAGATAATGCATTCATTTTGGGCAAGCAAAACTGAATTCTCCCTCTCTGCAGTGTTCTGTACTCCACCTAGGGAAAAAAGCTTTAGCTTTTTCAGACTCTCTGACATTGTTGCTACAGTTCTCTGCAACTTGCTCTTCCACGTCTGACTCTCAAATTCACCCATTTTTTAACAGGAGCTGAACACAACAGCCATGTCCTGAGATCAGCCTTTACTTTCCTCCTCCGCAACCATAACTGAAGGTCTCTGCTGTTGATAAACTTTGATCTCCTTTCCAGGTTTTTCGGCCAACTTCTGCTTAATCTTTGAACTGCACCGGTCTGATCTGCAGTTCTCCCAGGGAGGGAACTCCTGGATGTGTCAACAAGTGGAGCTTGGGGAAATTCAGCACTGATGAGACAGATACATGCATTGGCGGTACCTTGCAGGAAGCTCGGGGCTGTCAGTGACCAGAAAGCTTGGCCAGAAAGCCATTCTTGTGCTTGGTGAGCCTAATTTCTTGAGAAAATAGTTCTGTTTGTAGATTTTTATTTGACCTCCGAAGGGCAAGAATCCTTTCCAGAAGGAACAGTGCCTGGGCATGACTTCCCTGGCCAAGGTCTTGATAAGCCAGGGCCTATGTGGTGTAGCTTTTAAAGAAGCCTTTAGACAAAGTTCTCATTCACTTTAGAAGAACACTTCATTCAACGCCTCCCTGGGCAGTGTGACCACAAACGCCGTACACCTGCTTAAACAGATAGTCAAAGTCCTAAGAAAACTGAGGCAAAAGAAAACTTTGTCTCATAAATCACATTTCCTCCAGTAACAGTTCTCACTTGTGCAGAATGCAAAGTCGTGGCAAAGATTCCTTGGGCTATGGAATTTCATTTAATACACAGCCTGGTTTTTAAATGAGAAATATAGCAGGGTGAATGCAGGTACTTCTCTGAGCATAAAACTCTTCCCAGTGCTGTTAATGCACCCATGACAGCCCTCAGTGCCCATGCAGGTTTGCACTGAAGCCATGGGAAGCTGCACAAATACATCTGAGGACAGGATTTTCCCCCTAGCATAAATTTTTCAGAAAATTTAATGATTATGTATGATAATTTTGGCTAATGAATACATTTGTATGATTCATTTATTATGTATCAGTCATTTGTAAGGTATTCACAGCATGTTTTATTAATTATTATTAAAACCTTGTATTTACTTTAAGCCATATCTCATCAGGATTCCTTCTGTGAAATGCTGTAGACTCTCTTTTCACCTCTCCCAATCTCAGACCTGATTTCTGCTTCAGCAAGATGCCAATCCAGTTTCTATAGA